TTTGTTTGTTTGTTTGTTTTTTTTTTTTTTTTTTTTTTTTTTTTTTTTTTTTTTTTTTTTTTTTGTTGGCTTAGTCCAACGAACACTTCTCCATGTGGTTTTTCAGCCACGACTTCTAAAATACAGGCCTGAGTTCGAATCCCAACGGGTTTGGAAAAATAATTAAAAGTTTTTTTTTTTTTTTTTTCCGTTTTAATCGTGTCATCCTTGCGCAAAGACCTTGCCTTATCCGCGCGGTTGTTTCAGGTCGTGCAATCTTGCAGATCGCGCGGCCGAAATACACCGCGTCGGATGATTTTCTCGCTACGGCTACTCCAAATGGAGCTAGCCCAGCGACTGATCACATTTGATCCCCATATCAGTGGGGTGAGATTCAAGTACCAATACCTACTAGGCTAGCTCCTACCACGGTAAGGTAGGAACAACTCTTCTTTACAAAGACTTGTGCCCAGCAGGTCCCACTCCCAGCTTTGTGCCCAGCGGCTTAGAGGCCCGAGCTCACAACCAGGCCAAGCTGCATAGTCTAAGGTCTGACACTGGACCCACATTCAGGTTTCAGGGCTCTACCAACTGCAGTCAGCTCGGCCTCAACAGGACCTCGCCTTGCACGACTTTGCCCTTATGGTAGTCGCGCACCCTTAAGCAGTGGTCCTTGTAGATCCCCCAAACTCTTAATGGCGCGGCTTAGCAGTCGTCCATCCTTACTACTTTAGTTAGAATCGGTCTAATTTTTCCTTTCCACGACCGTACGTCCGTGAGGCTTTACCAACATGGGAAGAAACCGGTCACGTTGCCGGTCCTTGCCGCTAATCCCAAATGTCGCAGGCTTCGGGCCCTAGGCTCAGTAAGTTTTAGTCTTTCGTCATAGGTCGAGTTTAAATAACTTATTGTAGATAACCCATCTCATCAAGTTATGAAGCCTGGATAACCCTTTACTAAGTCAGACTCCGCCCGACATTTAAAAGCACCGGGCAGATACCCGTGTCAGGGTTTCTGCCCCGACAGCGTAATCCAATGAGTTGAGTATTTTTTGTAAAAAAATAAAAAGATAAAGGTGTTTGTTTATGCTAGGAGCCGGGGGGGAGGATTTAGGTAACATATGTACCTACGTCTGACTTGAAAAGCGTGTTGTGCACCTAAATATAATCAAGGCCCAGGGCCATCTGGAAAATCTCACATTGTGGTTATCGAAGGCGTTGAGGACCTTCCACTCCAAAAGAGAATAGCGTCCATGGTTTTATTATGAGTAAGAGATGTGACTTCTTTATTTTTTCCATTTCAAGTTGTTGGAACCTTCAAGTTGGGGTAGGTTTTCTGTTCGTTTCAGTTACATTTTAGGACTGCATGGTTTTTGCATTTTGGATTTCGTGGTTTTCGTGGGGGAAGAATAATATGTGTAACTGGGTCACTCTCTTTTGGGTTTTTTGTGACTTGTTTCTCAGGGTTAGGGATGGGTTTGGCATGAGTGCCTTGTCCAGCCCCGCTCGGGTGAGATGTTCATGTGAGAGACGCCGGGCACGTTTCCCGACTATTAATGATCCTTTTTTCTTAAAAAAAAATAATGTCAGTTTCAATTGTAAGAAAAAGTGGAGCATGAAAGGAAGTTATGAAAAAAAAAAAAAGGGGGCAAAAAAAACGTTTGTATTTATTATCAACATGTTAACTTTGCCGTTGAATGATGTTTATTTGGGTGAATCTATTGGTGTGGCCACGTCGATGCTCTTCAGTGCTCTCTTGACGGACGTTAGAGGTTGACTCGGTTTGTTCGTGGAACAAGTTGCTGTGATTTTTTTGTTCATCTTTATTCTGGGGTCATATTCGTTGTCTATTTCTGAAAGAGAGTGGGTTGGAACGACACCTACTTGAGGTAGGGTTGCTCTTTTGGGGGGGGCTCTTAATTGGTGCGTGTTTCTTCTTTACGACTGAAAGAGAGGTGGATGTAGACGAGCGTTGCCTGCTAAGTTGAGTTAATAAAATTTGGGTTAATTTTGAACGGTAAATCAGTGTTTGGGACATGAAGTTTACTATCCTCTGGCTATGTTGGGGGTTGTGCCATTTAGGCATTTGTCTGCTTTTTAGTTATTGTTTTTAAAATGTCGTCTTTAGGTGATTAGTTCAAGTTGTTGTTGTAAGAATATGGAGCGCCGTGTTAGGCATTGGTGCAGGAAGATAACAGTTGTAGGTGGGGCGTAAGGTTTTATGTGTTAGGCTCGGAAATATATCATTTATGATTGAGTGCTTTCCTTCGTTGGTGTTGGTTTTGTGGATTCTCTAAATAGTGGTATTAAAGCGGTTCAACATAGTCTTAATTAGGGTTGCTTTCCTTTTGTTGGGGCTACTTTTTCGTTGGGGTAATCTTTTAAATTAAGCGATTTTGAGAAATTGCAGTTATTGGGGTGAGAACAGTTTTTTTTTTTTTTTTTTTTTTTTTACGAGTTCTCCTCATCAGGGGACAACCATATATTTTTGATCTCACCTCAAATATTTTAACTGGCATTCTGCCATGCCATGGAACATATTTTTCTTTCACTATCTACCTACCACTACTCCTAAGGTGATACAGGGGACCCCTTCAAGCAAATCTTTCTACCTTTCCTCGGTGAAGGGAGGTTACCTCTCTCAGTGGACAGAGGTAACGACATGTTTGCCCCCTAATGTTTAGGGTGTAGGCTTTGGGCCGTCAGTGGGGGCCCGACTAACACAAGAACCGAGCATTTGCCAGTAATTGTGCCTCCCTTTGCACCTTCCCCCACCCCCATCCAGTAACAGTAGTGTTTAACGCCAACACTCTCCCACACACCACACACAAGCCACTCACATGCACACTCACACCCGTGTTGGTTGAAAACCTTACTAATACCAACTCATACCGACTGGGAGGATCCGGTTGACTATCTCGGTTGATTGGCACCAAGAGTGTCACAGGGGACCATGGGGATTGAACCCACAACCTCCTGAATGCCACTTGCATGCCTAACCAATTGAGCTCAAGATAATTTTAACTAGAGTTGTTTGAGGTATTTCTTTAATTAGGTTACCCGCATTGGAGGTTTGTTTTTCTGTACGGTATTAGCGTTTTATTTTCTTTAGTTCCTTTGTGGGTCATCTCCTGATTGTGGATTTTGAGGATTACCCCTACTACTGTGGCTCTTGTTTGTTAGGGTTGGAGGGTGGTTGGTAGGTTTTGTATGGGCCTCGCCACACCAGTCTCGAAAAGTAGTTTTTCGACATTTGTGAATAGCCACACCCGGTCTCAATTTTTTTTTTCCCGAATCTTCTCGACATGTGTCAGCGAAGAGTTTTCGACAAAGGCTGTTTCCAACTGGAAAACGCCCGCCTGCGGCAGGTCGAAACTCAAAACCACGAAAGGGAGCTTGTGAAAAAATATGCGGATTTCAACATTTTTCAGGACGCGGCCTCAACATCTCCTGTCTTCTTCTTCTTTTTCTTCTCCCCCCTTTTATCGTGCGTCTTCAACATACCGTGTGGCAAAGGCGGCCATTGTGTCGAATCCGTGAATGTCTAAAATGGTTTGACAGTTTCAAAATTTTCACGGTTTCGACATTGGTTTGGCGAGGCCCTATATCTTTTTTTAGGTTTGTGTCATATCCGTGATTGATTTGTCTTTTGCGGCTTTAGACATGTTTGCTTGCCATTTTAGGCATTGGAAAGGATGTTTACGCTTTCTATTTTCACGGGTTTGACATTAGTTTGGCGAGGCCCTATATCTTTTTTTAGGTTCGTGTCATATCCGTGATTGGTTTGTCTTTTGCGGCTTTAGACATGTTTGCTTGCCGTTTTAGGCATTGGAAAGGATGTTTACGCTTTCTATTTTGTAGGCTTATGTGCTTAGATTTATCGATAATAGTTTGTAGGTTTCCTCGTTGGGTCTGGTGCCGGGGTTTTGGGTATGGAGGTTGTGATGCAGGGACGGGGCTCTGAGTCCCTGGAGGGGGAGGACAACCTTGCTGTCCCTCGTTTTTTGGTTACTTCGTTGATGTAATTGCCTTGGGCACTGGGCCCTGATTTAAAAAATAAAATAAAATAATAATAATAAAAAAAAAAAGCAAAATCAGACACGCTCTTCTTTTTCTATTTCTCTCTCCATATGCCCCTTCCAACCTCCCTCTCCCCCTCCTTCTCCCCTTCCCCCCCCCCTCTCCCCCCTCCAGTCTCCCTTTCCAGTAGAGGAAGGTGCAGGCGGGATGGCGGGGGGTTAGCTCCCCTGCCCTACCCTTTCCCCCTCTGAGCAGAAGGGTAAAAAAGCAGAAGCTTTAGGTTCTCAAGTCTTCACGTTGAGAGTTCGAACCCCTATTTCTTCTTGAATTAAAAAGGGCGACGGCCTTGAAATATCATCATTTCTTTTCTTTTTCTTTTTTCTTTTCCATCATTGAACTGACCGGCCCCAGGCAATTCAGAATGAATTTTATTCTCTACATCTGAGGGCATCTGGATTCGAACGTGGGTCTGGATTTCAACAGTTCAGAGGGGTGTACCAACTGAGTTAGCGTCAGATCCCACTACCCAGGATTATTCAGTTTTCACCCTCGATTACGAAGATCAACGGTCAGAAAAATGAACCATAGGGCCTAGTCGGATCTGGCCCCGAGTTAGGCCCCTTGGTCGAACCCCTGTTTTCGCTCGTCCGCTGGCATGATCAATCACGAAGCGGCGGATACAGGGAAGGAGACGCAAGGCCCGGGCGTGGGGGGCAGCGCAGGGGGKGGGGGGAGGGCGCAGTGCACGGCGAGGAGAGCGTTTGACAACCACCTTCTTCCAGCCATAGCTACCATCGGCACCGGAGAACAAAGTACGGTCATTATAGCTGTATTTGGGGCAACTTCGAGTCTAGATACAATCAGATAGCAATAATGACCATACGTTGTATTCGGGGGAAGAAGGTAGTCTCGAATGACAACATCAGTCTTAGCAAGCCTCCTCTGCCGACGACCGTGGAGGGCTGAGGTGCGGTCGTACGGACGGTCGGGCGACGGGATCCGGGCGCCGTTTTATACCTCCTCCTTACGTGGAACTGGTCGGCATCAACCTCACCTGTCTTGGATGCGCAGTCATCCTTAGCTGCTGATTACAGTAAATGGAAAGACAATAGAGAGGTGGAGGTATGTCCATCAGTTGTCTTTAGAGCTGTCTCTTATACACATCTCCTCCTCCTTACGTGGAACTGGTCGGCATCAACCTCACCTGTCTTGGATGCGCAGTCATCCTTAGCTGCTGATTACAGTAAATGGAAAGACAATAGAGAGGTGGAGGTATGTCCATCAGTTGTCTTTAGAGAGAAAAAAGGTTTTGCTCTATGTGCGACCAGGTGTTAAAGGTTTGACTCAGAGATTGGCTGATGAGCTCCTTCCTTTCTGCGATTGAGTGCACCTCACTTCTTCTTCTTCTTCTTCTTTCAACTGAGAACTGTACATGCGGGTGGAGAAGTATTGAAATATCTTGTTGATGCGTGTGCAAGAAGCAGTCTATCCGCGAGGCCTCGCCGCACGGCACAACTAACGAAACGAAACGATCACCAGAGTCGCGAGGCCTGGCGAAGCCCTGTTATCCACGAAAACTCTCGCGACAACGCCCTGGCGAGAGTAGTGCGGGATTCGCTTCGCTACGGTCCAAATTTGTGGACGCTACGGTCCAAGTTTTTGGATGGACCTCGGTTGGAGCGATGCAGCACACTCGTGAGATTTCGCAGCTCCTCCACCCTACCAGCCGAGGATCTACGAGTTCGCCAGTGCTGCAGGAGGGAGGAGTAGGCAATTTCTCCCAAAAGTGAGGGCGCGCGAACTTGGAGACTGACAGCATTCACGAGTTTTTCCTGACAGAGGTCGTGTGGGTGCTATGCGGCGACTGCTTCACGAAACGAAGTCGTACAGCATTCACGAGTTTTTCCTGACAGAGGTCGTGTGGGTGCTATGCGGCGACTGCTTCACGAAACGAAGTCGTTTTTTTTTTCTTTTCGTGCATCGTGCGGCGAGGCCTTATGGCCACTGTTTTTCACTATTCTTCTTCTTTCTTCTTCTTCTTCTTCTTCTTCTTCTTTCTTCTTCTTCTTCTTTCTCCTTCTTCTTCTTCTTTCTTCTTTTTTCTATGGCCTCTGTTTATCACTATTCTTCTTCTTCTTCTTTCTTCTTCTTCTTCTTCCTCTTGTTCTACTTCCTCTTCTTCGGGGAAATTGCGTATTGCACATCACTTTTGGGGGAAATTGCGCGTTTTTTCTGAGAGTTGTACATGAGGAGAAGAAATGCAAATCTGTTGAGGCTTGTACGAGAAGCAGTCTATGGATGACCATAGACTGTTTTTTCGCTATTCTTCTTCTTGTTCTACTTCTTTTTTTTGAAAAGATTGCCTGCACGTTTTGGTCATCGATGCTTTAATTGATCATCATCGACTTGTAATCCGCCGGGGAGGAGGGCAAAACTGCTATAGTCCGCGGGTCACCGGGGGGCAGGTTTTGTTGGTCAGGGGCATCGGAGAGAGGTAGGCCTTAGCTCCACTACACAACACAGTCTACATGCATTTCTTGCTTTTCTGAACCAGGTGCTTTCGGACGAGTCCAACATTTTGAATGCACCGGGCTCACAAAGCCGTTCATGTACATGTAGAATGTTCTGTAGTGGCTGGAGACGCGTAATCTTTCTCTCCAACGCTTCCTTCCTCCCATCGTGCGTGCGACAGGCGTTTTTTTGGTTCAACGGACCTTGCTGCGATTTGGTAACCTCTGCACGTCTATTCCCGCGAACGACAATAAATTCTCGTTCTTCCTTTTCTCGTTTGGGCCCGGAGGGAGGGGGGAGGGGGGGGGGAGGCGGGGAGGTGGGGGCCCGGGGGTTAATCGCCCTTTGTGCATTTCCTTTCTCTTCTTCTGTTTATACCGATGTGCTCTCCCAAAGCACCCCTCTTGCAAGGGGTATGTACCGTACCTTAACTGCCTTGCGCCTGCTCCTGCATCCTCTCTGTTTGCTTCGTGCATCCTGTTTCTTTTTCTTTTTCTTTTTTCTCTTTTTGGACGTGTATCTGTTCTCTACTCTTTTCATTTGTGGGCAGTGTCTTTTAATTTGGTTCTGCACAACCACACGTGAGCACGCAAGCAAATGTACAAACACAGAAAAAATGGGAAAGGAGGAAAAAAAGAAAGAAAAGGAGAGACGAACACACACACACACACACACATCGCCACACACAAACAGGCACGCAACACATCGTCACACACAAGTGATTGATTGTCCACCTTAACTGCACTTGCAGGTGGCCACCAACCATGGCCTGCAACTGCGAGTGTCAGAGAACAGGTTCCTTTCGGAACCGTACTTTCCCGTATCCCCTCCCTCCCTCCGGCCCTCCTCCCTTCCCCCCTCCTCCCTCGATTCCTCCCATTTTCCCCATTTCCCCATTCCCTACCCATTCCCTACTCATTCCCTACCCATTCCCTACCCATTTCCCTCATTCCCCCCATTCCCCCCATTCTTCGCATTCTTCCCATTCTCCCATTCTCCCCCATTCTCCCCCCTTCTCCCCCATTCTCCCCCATTCCCCCGGTCTCCCCATTTCGCCCATTCTGCTCATTCTTACCCCGCTTCCTTTCTTATCTTTCCCCCGCCGAAGCGCGTTGATGCGTGATGCAAATGCCTTGGGTTGAGCACATGCATCCAGGAAAGATGGAAGCAGAGGGAAATGGGGTTATTACCCAAAGAAGAAAGATGGGGGGAATGGGATTACCCAAAGGAGAAAGATGTGGTCAACCAAGACGAGAAAGGAGGAGGGAATGGGATTAACCTCAGAAATGGGGAGAAAGATAAGGAGAATGGGGAAAAAGAGAGGGGGAAAGATGGGGAGAAAGATGGGGAGAAAGGTGGGGAGCATGGGGAGAGTGCGGAGGAGCGGGAGAATGGGGAGGACGGGGAGAAAGATGGGGAGAACCGGGTGAATGTGGACAAAGATAGGGAGCATGGGAGATCATGCGGAGGATGGGGAGAAAGATGGGGAGAAAGAGGACAAACGTGGAGGGAATGGGGAAGCTGAGGAGAAAGATGGGGGGTATGAAATGCTATGGGAAAGATGGGGGGGATGAAATGTTAGGGGAAAGATGGGGGGAAGGATGCGGGGAAGGATGCGGGGAATGAAGAGAATGGCGAGAAAGATGGGGAAAATGGGGGGAATGGAGAGAATGAGGAGAAAGATGGGGGGAAAGAAAGGGAGAATGCGGTTAATCCAAAAGGTGTCAGGAGCAGGCGAATGATGGGGGGAAAGATGGGGAGAATGGGGAAGGGAGAAGGTGTCGTCCGAGGCTGGTAGCTATTTTTTTGGGTGCCTGAAACTGCTTTTCGTTTATTTGTTTGTGGACTACCGTATTCACCCGAATAGAACGCCCGGTCAATATCGCTGTATTTAGACTGGAAGTTGGCCCAAATACAGCCATAATGACCGGGCGTTCTATTCGGATGAAGACGGTAGCTATTGATGAGATGAAGTTGGGGATCTCGCAGTTCCCCCCCCTTCCCCCCTCCTCTCCTTAAACGAAGAGTTGAACTCTTTTTTTTTTTGAAAAGGGCGACAGCCTTGAGACGTCATCGTTGAGCTGACTGGCCCCAGGTAATTCGGAAATTATTTTCTCATTTCATCATCTGGATTCGAACTTGGGTCAGATTCATATTTCAACAGTTCATGGATGTACCCACTGAGCTAGGCGGAAATTACAGTATTTTACTATTTTCACATTAATCATGATTTGGAGGGAGGTGGAATTTTTCAAGAACGACAAAATTCTTGTAGATTAAGAAGACCAATTGAACGACTAGATTTTCTAGAAAATTAGGGTATTTATTCAGACGAGGACTTTCCAGTGGAATTCATGTTTGTCTGTCAGAAATTAAAAGAGGGTAGGTATATTCACACTAGAACTTACCAGGAGGGCGTATCTGACCGGAATTGCGGGCAGATTCAGTTAAAAAAGGAAGTTCTGGCGTAAATCCGACCTAAGTGACCTCAGTACTCGCCTCCGTAGGGAGGATAGCATTCGTTCTTTCGTTCGTTCGTCTTGTACGAAAGGTCAACGAACTTATATTTAATGCAAGTTTTTTTTTTTTTTTTTGGAAAAAAATCGAAAAATAAAATAAAAAATAAAGGTGAACTAACAATCTTTTTTAATAATCTGCAGACTCTGTGCAGAGTTCTTCTGCCGGCCGTGGTGAAGAACACATCACCTGCCTTTTTTTTTTTTTTCTGTGTTTTGGCGTGGACTGCAGCAGGATTCGAACCTGCGCGGGCAAAGCACAGCTGATGACACACGTAAATTGAGAAATGATAAAATGGAATGGTCCATTTTTTGATGCCGGAGGGGTATCGGGATCGGGAGGCCTCGCCTGCGTTGGTTGGGGGGTTGTTAGAGAGATGGAATAAAGAAGATTAAAGAAAGTTGGAAAAAAAAAAAAGGAAAAAAAAAAAACCAGCAGAGAAAACGGGAAGAAGGAAATAGGGATAAAGACAAGGTACGTCCCCCCCCCCGGGCCTCAAATTTCAATCTCTTAATGAAAAGAACCCGGTGTGAATGGGAAAGAAGCAAAAAAGAAAAGAAAGGTGAAAAAAAAAGGAAGGAAAAAAAAAGGAAGGAAAAAACAAGGAAGGAAAAAAAAAGGAAGGAAAAAAAAAGGAAGGAAAAAAAAAGGGGGAAAAAAGGGAAAGAACACGGAGAAGAGGGAAATGGACCGTTTTTCCCCCTCTTAAAAAAAATAAAATTCGACGACTTTATTGCGTAATAATCATGATCATGGAATTCTAAGGCTAAGAATTTAGTATGAAACCTCCACAATAAAGTCGTCTTTTTTTTTCTATTTCTTTTTCTAAAGGAAGACACAGCTTTCCATTCGAAACAAATAAAATAAGTAGATCGTCTGTCTAGGCGAAAGATTTTGATAGAGGTTTAAGCAGACAAATTGGTATTTCTTTCTTCTCCTCCCTCCTCCCTCCTCCCTCCTCCCTCCTCCCTCCTCACTTCCCTCCTCCCTCCTCACTTCCCCCCTCCCTCCTTCCTTCCCTGAGTCCAACTGGATTACAGGGAATCAGGATAAGTGAGATCTGACACCTGAAATCAACTGTGACCTCCATCTAGTTCTTCCCCTGCACATAATTTCTTGGTTCTCCTCCCTCCTCCCTCCTCCTTTCCCTCCTCCTTTCCCTCCTCCCTCCTCCCTCCTCCCTCCTTCCTCCTTCCTCCTCCCTCTTCCTTCCTCCCTTTTCCCTCCTCTCCCCTCCCTCCTCCCTCCTTCCTTCCCTGAATTCAACTGGATTACAGGCAATCAGGATAAGTGGGATCTGACACATGAAATAAGCTGTGACGTCCATCTACCTCTTCCCCTGCACATAATGGCCCCCATCATCGTGAGATTGCATTTGAACCGGAATAGGGTTTGTACTTTGTTATAGGCATTCATAATGATGGGGGGTTATTATAGACATTCATAATGATGGGGGGTTATGTTTATTATAGACATTCATAATGATGGGGGGTTATGTTGTTAGGGGGGGAAGAAGGTAATCGACGGAGCAAAAAGGCAGTTGCTTTTTGGGTCGACCAACAAGGGTTTAGTGGAGTTGCACGGGGAGCGAAGTAAGTGGGCCTGGAACGCCATCCTGATCAAATTCGCGTAGTCTCACTACGGGAGAAGGATTCCATTCCATTCCATTCCATTCCATTCCATTCCATCTCTTATCTTATCTTATCTTATCTGATTAGCACATGACGTTCTCCACCTTGGCAACGGCTCCCACGGGCTCTGGTCAGCAGAGCAGCTCCGTCGAAGAGATCACAGAAGACGCTTCTTTCGCAAATCTCTCTCTCTCTCTCTCTCTCACTCCTAGTACCGCCGTCTTCCCGTGGACACAATGCACCCTGGTCATCAATGTATACAAACTATGGTTTCGGTCCCATACAGTAATGACGAGGGTGCATACAAACTATGTTTTCGGTCCCATACAGTCATGATGACGAGGGTGCATTGTGCTCAGGGGGAAGACGGTAGGACGGTAGGTTAAACCACCACCAGTGTCAGTGTGTACATCCTCGTCTTCCGCCTCTTTTTGCCGACAGGAGCGGAGTCCCTCTCCGTGCCAAGCTTTGCCGCCGAACGAGTCCCCAGCGCGGCGGTTTTTTTTTCCCCTCTTTTGGCTGGTGGCTGCCAGCCATTTCCATTTCGGCCCGGTAGCACTCTTCATCTCAACTTTTTTGCGGAACGACGACTCATTCTCGATTGATTCTCAAGTTTGCCCCGGGCGGCGGCGGTGTACTTGTTGTGGTTTAAGCAAAACTTGAGGCGTATAATGTTGTTGTCGTACATGACTCGGAACAATCCATGGTGAAGGTAAACAGTTCACAAAAAAAACACTTCGTCTTCCGCATCTCTCTCTCTCTCTCTCTCTCTGTCTCTCTTTCTCTCTTCCCCCTAGTACCAACGTCTTCCCGTGGACACAATGCACCCTGATCATCGGTGTATTCAAACTATGTTTTCGGTCCCATACATTCATGACGAGGGTGCATTGTGCTCGGGGCGAAGACGGTAGGTTAAGTAACTTCAGGCGTATAAAGACGCAGAAGGCTCGGAACAAACCATGGTGAAGGTAAGAGTTTGTGCTTTGCTGTTTTTTTTTTTTTTTTTTTTTTTCCCTGTGCTTGTTCTTTCCTCCTGTGGTCTGTAAAGATACATAGTAGAGTGGTGTGTGCATCGAGGGCGAGGTCCCCTTTACCTGGATTGTGAGATCCTGACCATAGATTAGATTACAAGGATCAGCCTCCACAAATGGAAAATGGAGGTAGCCGGGGTTGTTGTGTATGTGGTCGGGACGACAGCACAGATGCATCGTGTGTTAGTCGGATAGCATGCGCTGACGATGTATGTGACCTTGGTTTGGTGGTGTGTGCAGGATCGCGCCACGGTGCTGGTGGACATGGTCTTTCCCGAAGCCTCCTTGGATGCCTCGATTACAGCCTCTCCCTTTCCCTCTCCTCTTCCCACTCTGTGTATGATTGCTACTCGAATGTGTGCCATGGCGCTATAGACAAGATTGCTATCTCTCTTCTCCTCCTAAGCGGCAGCTGCAGTTATGCCGGAAGCTGCGGCTATGGCGGAATCGTCCCCGTAGTGTGATCTGCAGCCGTCGTCTTCTTCTGTATACTTCTGTGGACAAGACGATGGGTTGGTGGTGCGGGTCCTCTGGAAGGGTCTCAAATTTGGTGGCTCGATCTGAACGGTTCAAAAAGGGGATCAATGGTAGCTGTAAGCTGAAGGCTGATGTGGATGTGGAAAGCAACTTAGGAGGAGCAATCAAGCACTTTTTGCCACTCGGACACCCTTATCGGCGGTGTAATCGGTACAATCTTGGCTTGTTTGCAGAGTGCCAGCGTACTCGTGCTCTTCCGTGCTGCGTGGACTCAGTTTCACGCTGCCTGCGGCGGATGATTACAACCATTGATTGGTGATCTGCTTCCTCTGGGCAGTGGTTTATGACTGCCAAGCTTCTTGTGCAGTCTCACAATCCATCTCCTCTTCCTCCTTCCTCCTCTTCCTCCTCCTCCTCCTCCTCGTCCTCCTCTTACAGATACGGTTGCAGCTACCTCGATACCGTGATTTGATGTAATGGGAAGGGCATCACAAGGTTGTCAACAGTAGCTGGCTGCAATCCTTCCCCTTCATCTCGGGTCCTTACCCTTGTTGAAAGATCTGCAGGTTGTTGCGCTGCTTGGGGAATCTTTTGGCTATGGCTGGGGTCTTGAGCGACATTCATTCTGGACACTTCATCCGTGTCTTCATCATTGTCCTGATCTCTTTTCCATCCTCGTTGATCATTAAACCATCCTTATCCTCGTCTTGATCTTCATCCCGATCTACATCTTCATCCTTATCCAGATCCTTATCAACGTCCTTGTCCATATCATCATCAACTGCAGTGAGTTGTGCAAAGGCCGCTCTTCCAAAAAACAGTGTCTGTTGTAAAGTAACGGACAGAATACTCAGCCCTGTGGGCCATTTTGGAAATGCTAGATTGACAATTCCAGTGCAAAAAAACAGGTGGTTGCCTGCGGCCTGCACGCGAGCAGCGTGTAGGTATGGTTTGCGAGATGGCCGTAGTTATTCCGCAAAGTACATATGGCTTTCCCGTCCTCACCGCCCTTGCTAGTGGCGGTGGGGGCAAATCGGGCAAATTACAGTCCGACTTTCCTGTTGTTTGGTCATTCCCAAGAACCCTAGGAGGGTCCTCCAGTTTAGCTGGGGAGGACGGACATGATGGCAGCACTTTGTCGTTGAAAGATAAAAATAATCATAAGCGGTTGCAGCAAGCTCTGACATGTGTTGGATGCCGGCGGCGCAAAGGCGGCACCTTTCTTATCCAGGCCTGTGGTTCTGAGCTGGCCAGTTCTGCTTCGGAGGGCCCCATTTCTGCGTTGGCATTCCAGACAGCTTGGGTTGGTGGCGGCAATGACAAGTCAGGTTGCAGGGCCTTGCCTGGTGGAAGCTCTCCTCATGTCTGCACGACACGGCATCACTGGCAGTGGCGGCGGCGTAAGCATGGAAAAGCAGTTTATGCCACTGCACAACGACAGCATGTCACGGATGGAACTGTGGCGGTGCCGATTGATTTCTACCAGGTGTGTGCTGATTGATACATTCTTGCACTGATTGAGGGGTATGCTGAGGGGAAACGTATTCAGAAGGGTGGCATATGTTGAGAAAAATGCGCGTTAAAGGGGATTGTGTCTGTTAGAAAGAGGAATGGCATTCAATGAATGCAGCATTGCTAGGTGTTGGCAGACGGCACATATCCCGAAGATTGCTGAGTGACAAGAAAAGAACTAATTGCATGGCCACTGAAAGAGAAGGGAGGGAGAAGAAAAGGAAGTGGTATGCTCTGTGTATGCATTATTTTGTTTCCCATCTGTTGCATCTCTCTCTCTCTCTCTCTTTCTGTGTATGCATTATTTTGTTTCCCATCTGTTGCATCTCTCTCTCTCTCTCTCTCTCTCTCTCTCTCTCTCTCTCTCTCTCTCTCTCT